CTGCATGCTTGTTCTTATCTCGGCCCCTCTTCCCTGCCCCTACATGCGTGCTGCAACTGACCTTTCCACTCGTTAGCACATCTTGGGAAGACTCCAGGTCGTTATGCGGCCTTGTTACTACGAGCCATTATGTCATATGCCACTAGCGATTTAGATACAAGTGTCACTTGCCTTCTGCAGGGGTCGCCCTCTCCCCAGGACAGTAGGGAGAGTGTGGACCCAGCCCACCAGGGCCTGTGGCTACACAGGTGTGGCTGTTTGCCCGTCATCTAGATGAGAAATGGTGCTCCATGTGATTTTAATGTCATTGAACTGGTGGGGTTGAGCATCTTTTCCAGGGCTTCCTCTCGAGAGGCAGTGCTCTTGTTTTACAGGCACATCACCAAGCAGAAGAATGGAGGTGGAGCAGGGCTCACTAGTGCCAGGCAAGGCTCGCCTCCCTGGGCTTTGTGGGACTTGCCCCGGGGCTGTCCGTGAAGTGACTGCTGGTTGGAGGATTTCTGTGACATCACTTGATTGCTTATTTTCTGAGCTTTGAATTCCCTGTTTACAAACAGCAGGAATAATATAGAATCTCTGAGGAGGACTCTGAGGAGGATGGATTTACACCTTTAGTATTAAATAGCTGGCATAACTCCTTGCTTAAACTATACGAGTGGGAAGTGTTTGTTGAATGAATGACTGCACTAAGTGTAAAACTTTTCAAGCATTTACAGATGAGGAAACTGAGGCATAGAGTGAAGTGCATGTTCTTGCCCACAGGCTTGCAGCTGGTCAGGGTGGAGATGGGATTTGCGGCCTGCTGTCTGCTCTTACGTGTCTCACTTCTTCCCCTCTGGCCTAGGAGACAGGTGCCAAGGTTTACCCCCATCTAGCTGTCTACTGCTGGAGACAGCCCCATCCTTAGAGGCACAGAACAACCATGTTTTATTATGCTTGTGGGTGGGTGGGGAGCCCCAGCTCCAGGGCACCCCATAAGGAGCTTCTCCTCTGGCCTCTGCATATGAGGTCCCTCCATCTTGTACCTCTCCCCACCCCCCGTCCCCTCCCCTTTGTCCTTCTGTCCTCGCTGGGCTCTCTGGGCCCAGTGGAGGTCCCTGACCTGTGCACTGTCCCTCCTTCCAGATCCCATCCTCTGTGGAAGGCTTTTCACACAGCCAGAATTGACTTGTCAATTCTTGACAATGCTCAGGGGACAAGGCAGGGGCCTTGTCACCAGCACTATGCAGTCTCAGACACACAGTAGGCACCTTAGGGACACTTATGGAATAGATGAGATGGATGGATTTGAATGGCTTTATGTGAGCCTCAGTTTCCCCTTATGTAGGTTGACTAGCAGTGTTGTATGAAGGTGACAGAAGATAAAGGATGTGAAAATGTGAGTAGCAGCAGGAAGCTGGAGAAATGGGAGTTACTGTGATCTGAATTAAGATGAATCAAAGGAGATGAGATGCCAAACACAAGGCTCTTAGCAAGGTACAGCACATAGTGGGTGCTAAGGAACGGAAGACATTGTCACCATCATCATTACTGCCATTTTTATTATTATTACAGTGCACATTTCCAAGTTGCAAGTTAGAAGGATCACATATAATGGCATGAAATCTTTCTTTCTCTCTCTCTCTCTCTCTCTCCCTTCTCTCCCCACCTCCTTTTTCTATTTTTGTGAGACAGAGTCTCACTATGTAGCCAAGTTGGCCTTGAGCTCTGGATCCTCCTGCTTTAGTCTCCTGAATGTTGGAATTACAGGTGTGTGCCACCACACCTGGTTTTGGCTTGACATTTTTTTGTGAGTGAAAACAGAAGTGTGACACTTCACGTCAGGCCGGATGTCTTGGTAAGAGTTCAGTTATGCTGACTTCCCTGGGATGCTGGCCTAGGGTCCTCTGAGTCAAGTTTCCACTCTGAGTAAGGCAGGGCTTGGGACCTGGGCCTGGCATCTGACATTCTGTGTTACCGTGAACACCCTTCAGCTAATGTCATTGTTGCAACAGTGGCTGTTCAGCCTGGGGCGCGAGGCAGTCTCCCCCTGGCCTCCAGGACAGGGGACATGTTTCCCATTCCAGAAAGTTACAGTCCTGGTGGCTGCCCAGTTCCTGCTTGGACTCCACCCTCTAGTGGCAGGATGTGGGGATGACAGGCAGCGCGGTTGTGAGGGTTTGGGTCCAGATGGGAACAGAATGGGGGCAGTGGGGGTTGGGAGTCTACAGAGTAGGTATTGATGTGGCCCAGCTGGAATAGGGGGTGGGCTGACATTCCTCAGCTCCCTTGTTCTCTCTCACTGGAACAGCTTCCCCAGGAACCAGAGCAATTGGAGCCTTCCTGTGGTTTCACCCACTGCCCCACTCTGGCAGTGTGACCCAGCATGTCTGAACATCCCCAAGTCTGACCTGTAAGAGGCGCTTCCTGGGTCCCAGGAAGGCGACCCAGTCCTTAGGAGAATGTGGGAGAGGCTGGGATTTAAAAGGATAGGAGTTGGCTAGGGGGACCGGCTACCACCCAAGGTTACGGGAAGCACCCTATCTTTAATTCAAAAACATTAAAAAATTTAAAAACATTGTCCACAGCCCCACGTTAGGGACAGAAGACAGGCCTCCCCCCTCCCCACCTGGGGAAAGAACATGGCTACAGAATTATAGGACTGGAAACTTTTCTTACTTCGTTTTCTAGAATTGTGGGATTTAGATTTTAGATCTCTCTCTCTCTCTCTCTCCCTCTCTCTCCCTCCCCTCATTAGATTGCCAAGCAATGAGTTGCCCTCAAATCCAGACCCTGGGGCTCTAGGCTAGAAGTCATGGGAGGGCGCCCCTCCCCCAGCTTGCCCTGGAATGAGTAAGTTCATAAATCCACTTGCCCTCTCTGCTCCTAAAATTGTTCATAATTAGTAGGAGAGGGGCCTTGGAATCAGAATTAAAAAATTTTCCCCCAGAGGATGCCGTTGGGTGTCCCAGATAAAAGCTATAGATTTAATCCAGCCTTGCCTCTCCTTCATCCATCAAATTGGGAAACCAAGGCCCAGAATGGGGAAATGGCTTAGCCAGAACCCACAGCTAGACTGGGACTCACTTCTCTGCCTCCCAGTGCTGAAGCCCTGTCACCAGCAGCCCAGCGTGTCCTGATGGCTCTGTGGAATTGATTTGCTCTGGAGGCCCTGGCCCTCAGACAAGTCACTCGGAGCACAGATGAGGTCATGGGGCCAATTCTGAGATTCAAGGGGCTGGGGCATGGTGATGCCCTCTTTTGCCTCTATTTGCGCTTTCTTCTTTAGGGAACCCTGGGGGGTGAAGGCCCCTCCTCTTCAGCCCTCCCCCCCACCACTGCAACCATTCCTGTCCCTACACCCCCGACCCTGAGCCCAGCATTCCAGTGGAAAACCACCCCACATGGTTTCTATTCTGCTCCTGCAAACTCATCAGCGTCATGGTTTTGTAACACCCACTTGATGCCCAAGAAGCATTTACAACTCTCTTTTTTCTTTTCTCTTTATTTAAAAAAAAAAAAAAGAGAGCTTTTCAGAGGCACAACCTTTGCAGAGGAGAAGCTGGGGCCTGGCAGGCGAGGGGGGTGGTAAGGGTGAGGGTGGGCCTTGGGGGGTTGGGAACAGTGTTGGGGGACCCCATTTGGTGGTGGAGGGCAGGTATGAGGAGTGCTGCCTTGGGACAGGGAGGTGATATTTCATTACCTGGGCCTTATCCCAGCCTGGCCACCTCAGGAGTGCAATTGGCCCTGTGTGTGGGGGGAGGGGGTGGGGGTGGGGGTGGGGGGGTCTGGGATCCTTCTAGGAGGCAAATGACAGGGGTTAAGAATGAACTTGCTGATCAACTTGGTCTCAGCTGGAGGCTCCTCCAGCCTGGGAGTTGGGGATGTCACAGTGAAACGTAAACATGCAGGGGATCCGTGGAGCGTGTGGGCACATGGGGTCCTTCTCTGGTTCTTGACCAGCAATCTCCTTCACGTCTCCCTGGGAGAACTTTGGCTTCCTCTCAAATGTGATACTCTGAGCGGGGAAATCACCAAGTGAGAGCAGAGAGGGTGACTCCTCATCTTACTTCCCCAGGCCTCAGTTTCCCCATGGATACAAAGGGTAGGAGGTGTTGGGTGAGGAAGGGAGTGGCCTGGACAATCTCACAGCCCCATTAAGCTTCAGTGGCCTCTGGGATGAGATGCATGTTCCCTCAGGGTGACAGCAGACCTCATCCAGAGTGTGGGTCCCCAAAACCCATGGAAGACAGTCACTGGGGGAGAAGGGGCACTGGCATTGTGAAAGAGAAGCCAAGGGTAAGGGCTGAGGGGTGTGGTAGGTGGCTTCCAGAAGGATGTGCACAGCAGGCTGGGGCTGGTCATCTAGCTAGAGGTGCTACGCTGGTTCTTTCACAACCAGCTGGGGCAAGGTGTCCAGCTAGGCCTCAGGAAGCCCAAAACCTCTTCCCAAGGTGGCCTCCTTGGGAAGCCAGTGGCTGAGGGCTGTGTAAATGGCCTCCAGGGACAGGCCTGAGGATGAAGGGCTTGTGGTCACCAGTTCTGGGGTTTTTCTGGTGAGAAGCTGGACTCTGGGGACTCTGCCCATGCTGTGCTCAGTCCTGCCTCTTGTAAGCTGCTTCTCTGCAAAGGTAGGGTCAAGATGGGGTCAGGGAAAGGCCTAGAAAAAGATGTTTGTCTTCTTTAAGGAGTTGAGAGAGCCGCAGGGGAGGGCACAGGCTCAAGGGCTCTCTCTTAAGGGGTGGGTATGTGTGTGTGTGGTGGTGGGGGGGGGAGGACATGGTGAAGAACAGAAAAACAGGAGGAAAAGAAAAGCAGACTGATAAAGATGAAGAGAAAGAAGAGGAAGCAAGGGAAGGAAGAAAGGGAGGAGAGGAAAGTGAGAAAAAGGGAAAGGTAGAGAAAGAGCAGGGGAGATGGACAAGAGAGAAGGAGGAGGCGGCAGCATGTGAAGGACAAGGACTGGATGGAGGCGGCAGCATGTGAAGGACAAGGACTGGATGGAGGCAGAAGGGCTGTGGTCACTGAGCTGCTGTGTGGTGTGGTCGCCCGTTGGGTCTGCGGTCCAGCTTCCGGTCCTTGCGCGGGCGCCGGTCCTTCCGACCCTTCTTCCCGAGGCTTCTCTCTGTAAGGAGAGCACAGGGCTTTGTTTCTGAGGTGAAAGGCTGGGTATGTCTGGGATTTCCACAACCCTGAGAGATGAGGGCATCTGCCCACATGCCACCAGCAGGCTCAGAAGAACTGGGGTGCTGGCCTTACTCACCACCTTCTACTGGGGGCCCTGTCCCAGCTCCTCCCACCCCACACCCAGGCTGTGCCTCCAGTAAGGACAGTAGTGGCTGCTCACAGCCCCAAGTGCTGTGTGGATATTAAAATTGCCCCAGCTCCTCACCCCCATTTGACAGGCAGGAGTGGGGTTAGACCCCTGCACTGCTGTCACTGCAGGGTGGGTTGGGGCTGGGCTGCACACCCAAGACCCAGTTCTGCCCCAGTTCTCCTTGGTGGAATGGAGAAAAGGCTCAACATGACACCCGATCAAACCCTTCTCTCAGATGAGGTATACAAGGCCCAGCCAGGGGACCAATTTGCTTGGTAGCCCATCCTGACCTGGAGTTGCTGGACACCAGTCCTGTGCCTTCCTTCTAGGAGGCAGAGATGAGCCGAGTGACCTGTGGACAGAGGCCAGCAAACTCTCTTTAAGAGCAAATGTGGGGTAGTGGTCTCTGTCCATCTCCTCCAGCAGGGGGCCACCTGCCCAGATGGTCCCTCTTCTTCCTGGCCCCAGTCAGCCCCCTTCCCCTTGTTCACTTCACTTGGGTGCTGGCCTCCTCTGTTTGGCCCACAGCAGGTCTGAGTCCCCTGCACCTCTCTGCACTGGCTGCCTGGCCCCCGGAGCCCTTCTAAGCTGTCTGTCATTATTATTATTGATGGGAGAGAAGGCTGAGGTGTGGTTGGGAGCAAGGCCAGCCTAAATTTCTGGTTTACAAAGCGCCTCCACACCCAGCCCATTTCACACATTCTTTGTCCCCCTCTCAGACACTTCCCTGAGGGGGTTGTGTGCCCGCTGGAACTGATGACTCAAGGATGCACAGCGGGCACTTGAGACCTCAGAGCCCACAGCAAGGGAGGGCTGGCTTCCTTCTTCAGAGTCAACTTACCATTCCAGCCCCAGGTCCTCCCTCTGCAGGATGGACTCAGCATTATCACTTAGGCCAGGATGCTCACCTTTGGGGCTCCCCACACCCCTGAGCCTACAGGGGGCACTGTGCATACCCCAAGTGAGGGCAGCATCTGGAGACAGGTGTGGGCACTGCCTGATGGCCCTTGCAGCTTTGAAGGTGGTACTGTGGGGTGAGTGGTTTTGTGTTCCCATCCTTGCCCTGTATCAGCCTGCTAGTTGCTCACCTACCCATCCACCACTATCCACCCACCTACTTCACCACCCACCCACCCCTCTGTCTACCTATCTATTCACCTACCTCACCACCCACCCACCAATCTACCTATCCATCCACCTAACCACCCACCTACCAATCCATCCACCTATCCACTCACCTGCCTAATCACCCACCCACCCATCTGTCCACCTATCCTCCCACCCACCCATCCACCCATCTACTCATCCAACAGAAGTTAACTGGATGCCTATTGCCAGGCCCTGTTTGGAGCATCAGAGGGACAAGCCAAGAACAAGGCAGGCAAAGACCTCATTGTCCTTGGAGCGTGTCCTTGTAAGGAGAGCAGACACTACAGAAGCAACCACAGACAAGCAAGATGGACTCAGAAAGATGTGCTCTCTGTGGTATGTGAAAAAGAGCCTCCAGGGAGGCAGAAACTCCTTGAAACTCTCTGTGGAGGAGGTGTGTGCACTGAGGATGACATGAGGAGCCACTGAAGGGTTGTGAGGTGCCAAGGAGCCATATTTACAAAGCATAGCACCCAGCACGTGACAAGTACTTCAGGGGTGTCTGCAGCTGCTGACATCATTACCATCATCTGGGAAACAGCCGTCCTCTCAGCTATCCAGTCTTCCCCTCTAGGTCCAGTAACACGCACTGCAGATGACCAACCAACCAACCATCTGGCTGTATGTCTGACCCCCCAGTCTGTGCTCTCTTGATTTCTCTGGTCTTATCGCAGTCTCACTTTGTGTCCCCACTGCCCACCACAACTGTCAGAAGCTCCATCTTTGCTCAACCAACATACCGCACATCATTCTGGAAACAGTCTCAGTTGAAACGCCTGGCTCTGGGGCTCCTGTTCTCTTACTCTTGACCACGATTTAGTTATGCCTTTGCGCACTGGCCTACTTTCGACTTCCAGGATCACCCCTTCCTTGCTGTGTAACCTTTGGGCAAGTGACTCAACCACTCTGGGTCTCCATCTTCCTCTCTGTAATGGGGGATAATAATACCTATCTCACAGCATCACTGTGCAGGTCAAATGAGTCAGTGACTGTAAAAAGCTGGCACATTGACCCAGCACACGGTAACGCTGCTAATTCTGTGTTATCACTATGTATGGTGGCATCTTACCAGCCACACTCTGTGGCCTCTCTTCTGTTTAGATCAGTGGTTCTTAATGTTCCCCAGGGGTATTTTGGAAATCTGTGCAGTGGTCATTTACCACAACAAAGGGGATCTCAGTGGACCGGGATCGGCGGTGGTGTGTGGGATAGTCCCCCACAAAGAAGGGCTGTTTCCATTGCATCCAATTGGTTCACATCCTGGCCCCCCCCCGCCACCCGCATGCAGGTGGAGAGGCACCTTGCTTGTGCAGAGCTGTGCTCTGTCTGCCAAGGGGCTCTGAACATGTCACTGAGTTCCCACACTGTCCATGTGGGTCAAGCAAGAAGTCAGAGAGTTTGCGTGGACTTTACTAAGCATCAGCCACCATTTGGGAATCACATCTCAGATGGTGATGCAGCCAGGCACTCTAGGCGCTGACCACAGTGACAGGGCTGAGTGTTCTCTGTGTATTGGGTCTTGTGCTCCCATCATGAAATCTCTTTTCTTTCTTACATTACAGCTTGGGCATTATACTGAGGTTTAAAAATGATCTGTGCTAATGGCTACCTTCTCCACGAATTTCATCTCACATAGGTAAAGGGTGTGATCCAACGTCCTCATTATTAATAGGGGAGGGCCCTGGGACGGCCGAGGAGACCTGCAAGCTTGCTGCTTGGGGCTGCCCTGGTGAGGACCCTGGGAGACCACACGAGGTCTTGGCTGGGAATGGCCCTGCTGGTGCTGTATGTGAAGGCACCATTTCTTGGATACTACAAGTGTCCCTCCTCCAACCCTCCTGCTGCAGCTCACCTCCTGGGCAGGGCCTCTGGATGGGGCATTTCCTTGACTCAGACAGCACCTGGCAGGTTGCTGCCTCCTCCTGCCTGGCTCGCCCAGCCTCCCGCACCCGGGTCTCCAGGCCCCAGGCAGAGCCACAGGTCTTCCCGTTGTGTGTACAGGGGCTCCAGCTGCCCCAGGGGCCCCGTTCACACTCCTCTGTGGGCAAAGAGAAAGACAAGTCAACTGGTGGCAGGGCCCTTCAGGGCCAAGGGCAGAGTCTGGGGGTCTGAAGACACCCTCTCTAGTTGCTGCTGCAGGGGATGCAGGTCCTTGCCAGAAGTGGAGGGGACACTTTGAAAATGTCCATAATTGCCTGGGATGGAGATTTACAAAAGCCTGCAGAGACTGCTATGGGCTGGAAGCCAGAGATGACTGTCTAGCTTTGAAGAGGAAGGCCTCCCAAAGGAGGTGACATGGGAGTTAAAAGAGAGAGCAGAACTCAGCAGGTGGAGGCGAGGTCAGTTCCATCCAGGGTGGATGGGAAACTGGGGTCCTGGATGACTAGGTTTGAGAGGCCCAGTCACAAGAGTGGAGGTGAAGGTGCTGGAGGGCAGCAGGGGATGAACTGGATAGTTACTGGGGAGCCTTCAGAAGCAGGACTTGTCTTTGAACCTGGCCTTTGATCAATGGTAGAAGGCAGAAGCTACCCAGGGCTGATGTGAGGGAGAATGAAGTCACGGACACAACAGTTCTTAGTAGAGGGCAATTTAAAAATCTACGCATAACACGTATTTTCACATTTGATCCGTTTAAGAGTCCCTGCATGGTAGGCACAGAGCACAGGTAGTTGCAAATGCCCCCGTTTTGCAGGTTAGGTCACTGAAGCTAGGGCAGGTCAGACTTCTATGGGAACACGGTGAGGGCTTGACACAGCAAGTTCAAGGACAGTGGAGGCTGACAGCAGGTCTCCAGACCTCAGACAATGGTGCTGCCCTGAGATACGTTCATCTCACAATCCACACTGAGTACCGACTGCATGCCTTTGCTGTCCTGGGTGCAGAGAGGCAGCTTCATACGGGACAGACCTGGTCTTCCTCTGGAGATCACTGTCTCCAGAAGCCAGGCTGGGAGGGCCCAGGGCAGTAATGGGAGGTATAGGCAGCTGTGGGAGTCCAGAGAAGACAGGACCACAGCCCAGCAGACAAGAAAGCTTCCAAGAGGAGGACACCCCTGAACTGAGACTCGAAATGGGTTGGGGTGTGGGGAGGTGCCAGGCCCAGGGAAGGCAGAAAGTGTCCAGGTAGAAGGATTAGCTCCAAGAGGTCCCCGGGACAATTTGGCTCAGCATGCCCTCTTAGGACAGGCAAGTTGGACAGGACCTCGCCCAGGGAGGAGCAGAATGAAGAGGGGAGAGTGGGGAAGATGGGACCAGATTACTTAGGGTCTGGGCCAGCTCTTCCCAAGATCACCAAGAGCCACCAAAGAGCTTTGAGCAGCAGAGAAACCTGAACAGATTGTCATTTTGAATTAATCCAGCTACTGGGGCAAGGAGCCACAGAGGTGGTGAGACATGGTGGGTGGGGGTGGGGAGACAGATGTTGAGTGGGCTTCAGAGCTTTATGCTATTCCAGTCCTCCCTACCCCAACAAAGTTCTTTCTGCCACCTGACATACTATGCTTCAATTCTTGTCTCCCACCGAAATGTCCTGTCCATCAGGGCAGAGGTGGTCTTTTGCCTTCTAACATGTCCCCAGCACCTAGGAAGTGCCCGGCCATAGCAGATGCTCTTGAGTGAATGAAGGACAAGATTAGGCTGGACAGAGGATGAGAAGAACCAGGGATGATGGGGTCTCATGCATGGCAACCCAGGGGCCAGGGAGCTGGTCACTGATTAAAGGAACCCTGGAGCAACAATGGACTTGGAATGGGCAGGGGATCTCCAGAAGAAGGTCGGGGGGTGTGAGCTGCTGCTCAGGAAGGGAGCTGCCAGGTGTTGGAGTGACCGTGAATGTGTGCAGGAGAGATGCCTGGGCAGAGATGTGTGGGTCAGGTGAGAATGCCAAGGACGTCCCCCTGTGAGGGCAGACATGAAGGAACAATGCACAGACAGGTGTCTTAGGAAGAGCTGGTGGGTAATAATCAGAGCTGCCATAATAGCAACAGTGAACATCTACTGAGTGCTCACGGTGTGCCAGCTGCCATATTAAGAGTTTTAGATTGCATTTACTCTTTAATCTTCAGCACATCCCCTCCCAAGAGGGTTAGGTGCTATGCTGTATTATAATTGCTTTTTAACATTTAGAGAAATGGAGGGACAGAGAGCTTGAGTGTCTTGCTGAGATTACAAAATGTAAGTTTTAAAGCCAGGATTTGACCCCAGTTCTACTGTTTTCAAACCACCGCTCATCTTCTGTTGCCCTCTGGGTAATAACATCGATCCATGTCGGTAGTAACAGTAACCACGCTCATGCTGGCTACTTCAGCTCTAGTGTGTCAGAGGAGGTCCCTGGGGACCCAACATGGTGGGCTTGGGCCTCCCATCACGACATCTGGTGGATGGTTTCCCAGTCTCTTGACCTCTTCCCAAGCCTCTGCTCCTGGGAGTGCAGGCAAGGCCACACCAAGGAGGCCCCCACTCACCCTGGCACTCCTGTGTGCTTTGGTGGGTCAAGGTGCCTGGTGGGCAGGCAGCCAGACACTTCCCCTTGTACAGGTAGAAACGCCTCTTGCACCGGATGCAGAAGTCCTGGCTGAAGCAGCTTTCGCACGTGGCCCCACATTCTGTAACAGAGCCGGGGACACCCTGGATAAGGGTGGCTGCCAGGGAAGGGGGCCCCATAGGTCTGCCTGAGGTGGGAGGGCCTGTGCACAGCCATGGGCTCTGCAGCTCTGGGGTTAGAAAACAGCGCTGCCTCTGAGCCCAGGCTTGGCCAGGGTCACACTGGGCTGGTTGTGAACGCAGATCCCTTTCTCCCTTGAGCTGAGGCTCAGTGGGGAGGGGCAAGCAACTTGCTTGAAGTCATTCCACAGATCTGGGATGGGAGGTGAGGACTCCCTGGCTCCATTTCCACCGAGGCTCAGAGATAGTGATGTTTTGTCCCAGGTCACAGGGAAAATAGCAGTTAGGAGTCCTTCCCCTAGGTAGAGCCAGAGAAGGTGGGTAAAGTGCCCAGTGCCGCAAAGCAAGCTAGGGTGGAAGGGAAGGTTCTGCTCTACGAGTGCAGAGGAAGGTGGAGAGGGGTTGACTTGCTGAAGGCCACAGTGCCAGCGGGAGCCAAGCAGGTGTCAGAGGCTGGGCTCTGGCACACTCTTACTCCCCCCAGGTTGCATTGGGGGAGAGGGCGGGATGCGGGGTGGGGGTGTCCAGGAGCCCAGCGCTAGCCAGCAGAAGACAAGGGAGGGGCCACGTACTTTTGCACCTGTTGACTTCCTGGCCGCGGATGCCGAAGAAGCCCTGGGGACAGTCGTGCACACACTTGCCGTACTGGCGGATGCCTTCCCGGCGGATGAACAAGAAGAGCCTCTGCTGGCACGTGGAGCAGCCATTCTCCTCAGAACACGTGACACAGCCTGTGCAGTTGCCTCCCAGGACAGCGCCTACTGCAGCCAGACCGGGGCCGGCGTGCGGACAGGGAGGGAGGTAAAGGTGAGAGTTGGTCAACCGCGTGTGAGCCACTCAGACTGTCTTACTGCGACACTAGCGGGGTGCGTGGGTACTCCAACAAATGACTACATTTCGCAATTTCCTTGGTAACTAGACATAACCATGTGATCAAAATCTGGCCAACGGGATATAATGTAAATACTGTTGTGCAATTTGTGAAAAGCTGCCTTAAAAGACAAGGGCATGTTTTCAGCCTTGCCATCCCCTCATTCTTTCTTTTGGATGGAATATGAACATGATGGTTGGAGCACAAGCAGCTATTTTGGATCATGAGATGGAAACCATGCCCTGAGAATGGTAAAGAAATAAGATTAAAGGTACCTGTGTCCCCAAAGAAGGTAAAACTCCTATATTGCAGGTGTAGACCTTTAACACAAAAGAAAACTCAACGTCTGCTTTGCTTAAACCTGTGTTATTTGAGGTTTATATTATTCACAAACTTAACCTTTACTAAAGCAGTGTGCATTTTTGACTCTGGGTGAGGCCCTCATGCTCCCCCAGTTTCTGAATGATACTCCATTCCTCACTGTCACACAGCAAGGACTCCTGCCATCACCTGGTGCAGGAAGGTGAGGGGAGGAAATCTTTGTTGCTCCAGAATTGGGATCTAGGAGCTGACGCTGGGGACATGAGAACCTAAAGACAGCCCCTCCAAGGCTCACAGTGGGTCACAAAGGCTCATAGGGAGGCAGGGATCTAGGGTCCCTAGGAAGGGGCTGTCAGCTGGGGGGCAGTGAGTAGTGCTATGGATCTTCCTGTCCCCAAACTTCTAAACTAAGTGATGACATGCAAAGGAAACCCTCAAGAGCTGGGCCAGGGCTGCCCAAAGGTGCCAGCCTCTCATGCCCTAGCCAGACAGAAACTTATGGCCTCTTCCCACACTTCTCTGAGCAAAGATGGTGACCAAGAAGGCAGGGCCAAGCTGAGAGGGGACAGTGGTCGATGAGCCTGCCTGTCCGTGGCAAGTACGAGGGGTCCAGAGTGGCAAAGGCCATTGTAGCATGAGCCAGGCTCACGTGGCCTGGGCTTCTGCCTCGCCAAGGCTTAGTCTGGCAGGTGTGCAGCAGTGACAGGCAGCAGTGTAGAGTACTGGGGCAGGTGGGGAGAGTCAGAAAGTGACCAGGCGACATTAAGGGACAGGAAAGGACAGCGTACCTTCTTAGAGGAAGCATGTGGGAAGCATCAAGGCACTTCACACTTAACACCAACAAGGTCAGATCATTTAATGAGTCACCACACACTTTGGCTCACCTGAGCTCCATCTGAGCCCCAGGGCCACCCAGCAGGGGACATCTTGGCCTCCCAGCTCCCAGCCCCTCTCCTGTTCCTATTGGGGCAGTACCCCCCTCACTGAGGCATTCCCTGTGTGTGTCACTGGGAAGGGCATATCGTAGTGCCCCCCCCAGCATTGAAACTGAGATGGCCCAGCCCTTCTTTCTTATTTATTTATATATTTATGTATTTATTTATTTATTTTGCAGTACTGGGGGTTGAGGCCAGGGTCTTGCACGTGCGAGACAAGCATTCTACCACTTAAGCCTTGCCCTCAGCCCTTTTGTACGGATCTTATTTTTGAGGCAAGGTCTTGCTAACTTTGCCTGGACTGGTCTACAACTTGAAATCCTCCTGCTTTCACCTCCTGAGAAGCTTGGATTACAAGCATGTGCCACCACGCCTGTAATGGCTGGATGACTGACCTAATCCTCCTCCTCCAATTTCTTTCTTTTCTTTTTTTTGAAGGTATGGGGACTTGAACTTAGGGCTTCACACTTGCTAGGCAGGCACTCTACTACTTGAGTCTCTCCTCCAGCACCCCAGCTCTTCTTCAAGACAGCTGAGGAAGGTCAGTGAGGGGGACATGAAAGTAAAGGGACACATGGGAATGGGGTCCATGGCCCTGCTCAGACCAGGTCACTCTCCCCGCGGTGAGTAGTGCTACCTTCCCCAACCCTGATCTTCAGCTCTCTGATTCTACGAGCCCCATGCTGTCCCAATTACTCTATTTCTGTTGCTTACAATCAAGGAGTCTACTGATGCAGTGGCCCTTGTGGCGGTCACACAGAAACTAATGTGCACACTGGGACATGGTCCCAACAGCTGGCAAGGGTGGCTGTGACGGCCATTCTTGTGCTCTGGGAAGAGAAAATACAGCAGGAGAACAGAGTGAAGATTTTTGTGTTTCCAAAACTGTTGACTGACAGGGACCTGAGGACCAAGAGAAAGTGTAAAGCTGTAAGAGGGGTTCCTGGGACCAGAGAGAGAATGACATGGACAGATTGGGTAGAGCCAGGTCATCCCATACAAGTGGCAAAAATGTCACATTCTGATATTCCCAAGGGCTGGCAAGGATGAGAGGAAGCTTTTACTTCTGATAGGTATGTAAGCTTTACAGAAAAATCTGGCAATATCCAGTAATTTGAAGATGTGCCTGTGCAGACAGGAGTATGGCTTCTGGTACCCACCCCAGCACACCATGGCTCTGAGGGTGCATTATGGTATGGATTGCTGGATTTCGTCCTGACTCAGCAGGTCTGGAGTGGGGCCCAAAAATCTGTCTGTCCCTTCCTCTTTCCCTTCCTCCCTACTTTCCTTCCTTCCTTGATACTGGGAATTGAATTCAGGACCTCACACACGCTAGGCAAGCATTCTACCACTTGAGCCATGCCCCCAGCCCTTTTGCTATTAGTTTGTTTTTCAGATGGGGGTCTCATTAATTTTGCCTGGACTGGCCTGGAACCTGCATTTTCTATCAGCTTCCATAGTAGCTGGGATTACTGGTGTGAGCCATTGTGCCTGGCCTGAGAATCTGCATTTCCAACAGACTACCAGGTGATCCAATGCTGCTGATCTGGTGAGCATTCTTTGAGAACCACCAACCTAGAGAAATGCTTGCATATGTGCACAAAGAGACATGTACAAAGATGTTTATCACAGCATGACTGAATAGCAAACAATTGCACAAAGCGAACCCACTGTCAAAGGAATAAACACATGGTGGTGTAATCATACACCACAGTCAGCTACCACACACACAACCCAGCCAGGATAAATGACTAAGGCAGAACTATAGTTATCATTGTGGACACAGCTCAAAGACAGCGCCGAGAGGAAAAGGCAAAATGTAGGATGAATCACGGAGTAAGAATCCTTTCTATCAAGTTCAAAAGCCTGCAGACCCACACTGGGTAACATTTATGACACGTAAATGTGGGTGAAGAATGAAAGACATCAAAGGGTTGAAGGAAATTCAAGATGGTGGCACTTCTGGTGTTGGAGATGGGGTAAGGGACTGAGGAAGAAGGCTTCAGATCTCATTTGTATCTGTAATACCTAACGTCTTAAAATCTGAAAGATTTGATCACAGAGGCTGATGGGTACTCAAATGTCACTATATTGTTTTTTATTCTTGAGTGTAGGTTTTCAATAGTTCACAATAAAAATCCATTTAAAGAAAAAAAATTATAGTCTTTCTCCTCCTTTCTTCCTCCAGCTCCTCACCCCAAGCTCTGTCCCGTCCTCAAGCTGAGGTTCTGGGCAGTAGAAGGGGACAAATTCTAGAGATCGGAGGGGTTTCTGAAAGCAGTGGAGATTTATGCCCCTGGGCACTGTACTTGACACCTTTCTTGTTCACTCCTCCCCTCACCCTTAGGAACAGAATCCTGATTTTTAGTGCAGCTCACCATTGTCCAAGAACAAAAACTGCATTTCCCAGGCTTCTTTGCAGCTATCTGATCATTGCCTGAAAACTGGCCAATGGGATGTGAGTGGGCGTGTCCTGGCATCACCCAGGAACTGCCTGGGCTAGTCTCCCCTTCTTTCTGTCTGATGGCTGGAGCCATAGCTCCATATGCAAGACATCACGGGGGCATTCACACCTACGCTGAGATTTTTTGCCAGCCCTGTATAGGCCACTGGATCTTTCTGATGCCAAGCACTGATGCTGATATCAGGTCTTCAGCCAGCAGGTCAGCACCATGATGTCAGTGGAGACCAGGGCACCCTCCTCTGTGCCTGCTATGCACTATGGAAGCCTGCTGGAGCTGAGAGTCGACCCCACTGACAAAGGACAAGGGGACCTGCAATTGACTTGAGGTCTATCCCTGCTACAGGGTAGAATATTTCAAACGACAAATTATGTTTGATTCCAGAAAGATGAAGTGGTGTTTCCTGCAAGCTGAGTTAGTGGACTGACTTGCGCCATCTTGGGTGGTGTTGCCATGTTGCAGCTGAGGAATCTCAGGTGGAGGGGAAATGACCTGTGGGTGTCACACAAGATCAGTAGGGCATGGCCCACGCCAGTCGGCCCTACACTGCCTTTCTAGAATATTGCTCACAGCCTGGGATGGAATGACACCATATAACAATATATATGGGATAAGGGCACTGAGATCACAACAAAGAGAAACTCTTATCAGGAGACCTTGGGTATCACCTCTTAGTTTCCCTGGAGAACCCAAGGCCAGAAGGGGTGGCACTGTCCCCAAGTGAAATCCCCTCACACCCAAGGAAGCCCCAGTTAGAGTTAACAGCACCATTTGTAGCATGATGACTCAACCTGCTGAAGGCAAAAGAACCCAACAGTGACAAGGACTTTGGAGAGTGTCAATGTGCACCATGAGCACAGGACAGATGGTAACTAACATCCTCCAACTCCAGGGTTGAAGCGGGAGGTCCTGCAGTCCTGGTCCAGTAGAGGGTTAGGTACACTCTAGTGCCTGTTGGTTGTATGGCTGCCTCTGACATTTTGAATTCTAATGGTCTCCATCTGCCCTTTCCTCACGTCTTTGTAAATTCATGAGAAAGAACAGCAATGTCTTCCCAAAGGTCATGGGCACAGGGTCTTGAGTGCTCACTTTATGAAGAATTAGTGATGATAACTTGACTTTGTGAAGCACTGCTCCAGGAAGAGCCAAACTTGATGGTTCTTAAACTTGGC